TAAATAAATAAAACAGTGGTTCAAGAAAGGTAGCAGAAGATGAGTATTTAGTAACAATGGCAACATCTGTAGCCCATTGCTTTAATATTAACTTTCTGGAAACTTCTTTTAATGTCTGGAAATTCAGTCATGAAGTTATTTAATGAAGGGATTTTTGTCCTCTCATTGGTCTCTATGTCTGTCCTTAATGCCCCTGTCCCACTGTCTTGATCACTGTGATTCTGTGGTGCTTTGGGAAAAGACAGTGATTTGTTTAACTTTAAAAAAAAATTATTTGAGCTCTCTAGTCCTTACATTTCTTTTAATTTCTAATATTTGGATAGATCACACTTTTTTATATTTTATTATTTTTATTTATGTGTATGTGTGTATTGCCTCCATGTAGGTAAGTGCACCGGTGTGGTTGTGCAATGAATGCCCGCGGAGGACAGAAGAAGCTTTTGGATCTCTTGGAACTGGAGTTATGGACAGCTGTTAGCTTCCATGTGGGTACTAGAATTTGAACCCAGGTCTTCTGCAAGAACAACCAGTGTTCTTAACAGCTGAGCCATCTCTCCAGCCCTGGATCACATTTTTAAAGAGTGGAAATGAACACACAGCTTTTCTCCCTGAGAAAAGACTTTAGATTCAGCAGTTTGTTAATATTGGCTATTTTTCTCTAACACACATATGTCGTGTGAATACTTTGCACCCGATAAACCTGTATATACTCTTTTAAAAACTGGACTCCTCCATATCTTTGCAAATTGGTGGTGACACTCAGGATTCCCTGCAATGGCTGTTTTGTCACAACTGAGGCTGCTCCCTGTGAGCTGGCCCCCATCGCTGCTGGTAGGTAACCATGTGATAGATAACTTGCAAGCAGCCCTGCTGTTTGTTACTGGCAATTAATCTCTCTGGTGCCTTTCTTCCATTCAGACTAAGCCTTTATGCTCTAAATCCAGCTATTCTAACGCTCCCCACTTGTGCTGTGTAGAAAAGACTCAGACTGACAGATTATCGCAGGGCAGTTAAGCATGTAATTGCTCAAATGAGTTAAAATCCCTTCAAATATCTGTCTTTGTACCTCATCACACCACTTCACGGACTCAAATATTTGACAATTGATGAAGATAAACTAAAGGGGCCTTCATTAGCTACCAACCACCGTGACAAGCTTCTTTCAGTGAAAGGCTGGTCAATTTTGGAACTTATTATCTACTTAAAAACTGCAGGAAAGCAGAAAAATACTTCAGTGAACTTTAGAATAGAGAAAGCTAGAAGTTTCACATGGAAGCTAGGGTCAGGAAAAAAAAAAAAACAAAATGTAGTTTGCTAATCTAAAGCTGCACTTGTTGAAAAATGCAGGGGAAGACCAGCAGATGCACTGATCCAATAAAGGAAGGGAAATATTACGCTCTCATAGGCATTGCCATTAATGGCTATGTGTTAAATTTAGAGGTAATTACAGAAATGGAGAGAGGGTGGCAGAAATCCAGCACAGTGCAGAGGCTAGTCTTGGTGTGGGGTTGCTGGGCTGCCAGAAGTCTAACCCTCCAGCTCTGTGATGAAGTCAGGTGCTGGACCAAGGGAGTTTTCAGAAATGCATGGCACTTTGCTCTGGCAGGAACCCCAGCAAATCCTCTGACTTTCAGGGACCTCACTGCTCTGTATTGGTCTGTTCAGATCAGATGCCAAGGAAAACAGGTGGTAACACTACCACCAGGCACCAGGGCAATAGAACACATCCAGATTTTAAGTATGGCTTGTGCCTGTCTGTTATGAAAGTGTTTAGTTTTAATCTTATCTTTGAAATCAACTGCCTATTTTTTTTTAAAGGACCATGCATGAAACTGGTGGTTATTATGTAAAATAACATACCTGGAATTATCTTCTATAAAATTCATACTTCATGTAAACCAGAAACTCTGCTTCTTTTATAATGAAAATTTTAAAAAATTTAAAACTCATAAGTAGCAAATGTGAAAAGTAGAAGATTATTGTAGAGAATTCTCACCTTTTCCAAGACTTTGGTTTCCATTAAGTTGGTTTGGCTGGGCTGTCCTGAGAGCAGCTTCGATATGAGCGCCCTTAGGTTTCAGCCAGGGCCCATGGCACACAGTTGGCAAGCTGGTGTTGACCAGGCATACCCTGACAGGCATCACAGTCCCAACTGACCGAAAATTGTGACTTTAAATAACAATGCTGAGTGGGCATCTTTGAGTGGGTCCTGCCTTTACTGAGAGTCCTAGTATGGTATTATTGACTATAATGTTGACTTTTGTTTGGAAATAATAGCTCTAATCAAATAACATTTAATTAGAAGATATTCAAAGGAGAAAATGACATTAAACCATGCTTAGCTTTTAAACCTGAGGCATTTTGACTTTTAATATATTAATCATCTGTCTTTTTTCACTTTTACCTACACACACACACACACACACACACACACTCACACTCACACTCACAGAGTTCACATTTGGGCTACACAAAAGTTCAGCTGTTGTTCTCATATTTTTTTTATATTGATAATTTGATTTTGTTTTGACCTTGCACTTTGGAAAGCTATATATCTGAATGAGTACTTTCTGGCTTTACTGCACAATCAATAATCAAATGATCATGCAGATACTATGACAGACACAACAGTGTTAGTAATAAAGATATGCCCTTCAAACATGGGCTCAAGCCTTAATATTTTTTTATTTAGAAAAGTATGCAGTTTGTAATGTTAAACAAGCATATTTCTACTTTGTATTTTATATGCAAAATACTATTAGTCCCATTTTTGAAAAGATAATTCCATTAGGTTTAAGGTGGAACTAATAAAATTTGTATGTATTTATGGTATACCAGATGATTTTTATACATATATCTGGGGAAATGATTACTTTGATCAAGCTAATATTAAGAAAGTGGATTGGTTCAATAGAGTGTAATATTTTAGATTAACAATTAAAATTTCCATAAAATGGAATATAAATATTAAGGATAAGGTAATGTAATAATTCCATATGTCACAGAATTTTTCTTGGCTAGCATTCATGATACTAACTAGAATAATCTTCAGAGCTACACTTATCCTTAGCTACATAAATACATTTAAGTCAAGTGTCTTCCCAGTAGAAGGATACTTACAGTATTTATCACATCTTGCAGATGAATTAAAAGCAAAATACTAACTTTGTCAACTGAAATTTTCACAGGTAATAATACAAAATAATCTATAATAGTACTAACATCTTGATTACAGAAATAGAAAATATGAAGTATGAAAGGAAAAAGAAATTAAGAGAAAGCAAGATTATGTCCCAAATACCTCTAATAATCTCGGGTACAAAAGCCTGTGCAGGGGGCAAATGTGAAACTCAGTGGCTACAGCACAGTGTGCGCTGACTGTCTTTCTTAACTACCGTTTCTACAGCAACCATAGATTACATGTAAATTCGGACTCTGTCAGCTTTTAGCAACCGTTGAAATACATGGTATAAAATTAATTTTTGTAATCATATATTGTAAATTTTAGGGAAGTCACTTAAAAAGTCAGTAATAGAAGAAAATGAAGTAAAACTTTACTGAATTAATCTGAGTGACAGCATTGACAGAGAAGAGGAAGGAGTGAGTAATGGGTTAGTAGACACCAAACAACTAAAAATATTAAGTAGGTGACATACCAGGCACTGGAACAGTTACAAAGCTGTTCACCATTCCAACTAAAAGGACGAGGTGATTGCATTTTATAAAGAAACAAAACAATTCTGTTATCTACAGAAAATCTACTTTAATATAGAATTGCAGGGTAAAAATCTAGTGCAGAGAAGAAACAGCACAGTAGCAGCCATGAAAATAAAGCTGGAGGGCCACGTCCATGTGAAGCAGAGGAGCGTCTATAAAAGGAAATATCAGGGATAAAAGAGAAATGTATGTAAGGGTATCAACTCAAAGAAGACAAACTTCATACAGACTTTCAAAATATACAATGCAAAAGTGAACAAAACCAAAAGGAATGGTGGCTCATAAAAAATCGGAATGGGAGGGGCAGACACACGCTTTGGAAACTTGCTTGGACATCCGTGACCAGGAACTCAAGACTCTGAGGAATCAGCTGGGTGTGAAGCACAAAGAGGTGAAAATGCTGCGCCAGGAGATTGAAAGAACCAAGCAAGACATGGCCATTGGGTACATGCAAGAGCTGAAGAAGCTACAGGAAGAATTAGGCAGACCGAAGAGACGCTACGAAAACCTGCAGAAAAAGCAAATAAGAGATTTCAGAGGAAATACCAAAAATCAAAGGGAGTATCGGTCTGCAATTGAAAACCTAACGGGAAAAATAGAGGAATTTCGTCAGAAATTGCTGGACTGGGAGAAGCAGCGCTTGATTTCTCAGCAACAGGTATCTTCTCTGGAAGCACAAAGGAAGGCTCTGGCTGAACAATCGGAGATAATTCAGTTGAAAGAACAGATTTTGCAGGCTGAACAAACTTACAGCTCTGCACTGGAAGGAATGAAGAAGGAAATCTCCCAGCTAGCTCAGGAGTTACATCAGCGGGATATCACTATTGCTTCTGCCAAGTGTTCTTCAGACATGGAAAAGCAGCTGAAAGCAGAGATACATAGGAAGAAGAGAAAGCTGTGGAGCATAAGGAGATTTTGAATCGGCTAGAATCACTCCAGTTAGAAAATCGCCATCTCTCTGAAACAGTAATGAAACTGGAATTGAGTTTACATGAGTGCTCCTTGCCTGTCACTTCCCCGGGATCCATAGCTACCAGATTTTTGGAAGAGGAGGAGCCAAAGTCTCACCATAGTCTGGAGCGCCTGGATGCCCACACTGAAGAACTGAAAAGGGAAAGTGAGAAGACAGTGAGGCAGTTCACCACCCGTATGTAGCTCCTGTGGCCACAAACATGGAATAAACCCTCAGAGGCGCTGCCCTGTGAAGAAGTCATGCTTTAAAGCATGATTGTAAAATTATAAAATGATGCCTGTGAAAGCAGCAAGAAGAATCAGAAAAACTGGTACTTAGGTATTTTCACCGGTTTGTTTGAAGGGCCTCTTCCAACCATGACTTATAAAAATAAACCACTTTGCAGGTTTTTCTCAAAAAAAAAAAAAAAAAAAAAAAAAAAACCAAAAGGAAAGAATACCATACTCTGGGCAACAAAAACACATTTTAACATGTTTAAAATAACTGAAGACATAGAAAGTATTTTCATGACCACAATGAGAAAACAATTACAAAGGTGTCTGGAAGAAAAAAATCTGAAAATGACTGAAAATTAAATAACACGTTTATAAATAACCCAGGAGTGAAAAAGTAACCAAGAAAAATAGAAAATATTTGGTTCAAAAATAAGGAAACAGCTAATTTTTGAACAGGTATTTCACCAAATTTGAAATATAGCTAGGAAATAAATGTGATATACTCAGAAAGAAAGAAAGAGAAAGAAAGGAAGGAAGGAAGGAAGGAAGGAAGGAAGGAAGGAAGGAAGGAAGGGAGGGAAAGGAAAGGAAGGAAGAACCTATTAGAGGGGTTAAAGCATGTTAAATGAGCCAAATGCTGTGGGAAGAAGGGAAGCCAGGGATCATGGGAACAGGAATTGCTGCAGCACTTTGGAAAATACGTTACAAAGGTATAGATCCTCCTCCCAAGTGATATCAGCAGTACATCCTTCTATTGGTATTTATTCAAAGCAGTTGAAAAACCTATACTCACACTAAACAAGACCTGTACATAGTATTTGCACCAGCTTCGTTCATAATTAACCAAACAGGAAGCCGCCGATGACGATGGCCTTCAATAGGAGAAGGGATAAATACACTGGAAAACAGATGTGCTGGCACATACTTGCAATTCCAAAACTCCTGAAGAAGAGAGAGGAGGATGAGAATGAGGAAGAGGAGAGTAAAAACTGCATGCCATATGGCATTATGGAAAAGACAAAGCTATGATTCCGGGGAAAGAACTTTAAAGGAAAGACCAGGGACTGAACAGCAGAGAAACATTAAGGCAGGGAAGTAATGTGATACTATTACGGTAGAGGTATGATGTGAAAACTCAGAATTTACAACAGAAAGATCGAACTCTCAGGTAAATTATAGCTGGTTAACATAAATGTGTGTTGATACTGGTTCGCCAAATGTAAGATATTTTCCTCATTAATGCAGGATTTCAAAAAAAAATTCAAAGAAACTGGAGGCATAGAACTGAAAGTATATACCACAAACAGATTTTTAACCAAAATGTTAAGCTTGTACCTTAAACAATAAAAATAGAGGAAATGATAGAGTTAGCAAACAGAACCCAGCAACATAAACAATATATGAGAACTAAATAAGTTATATTGGTAATGAACAATTAGTTCAAAAATCAACCAAGAAACTGGCCACATCAACAGACTAAAAATGCAAAGTTACTACAGGTTTAATACAAGGAAGTTATCTGGAAAAGCTTCAGTATTCTTTTTTGGGATAAATTCTCAGTAAACTAAGATTCAAGGGGAACTTCATCAGTCAGATAAAAGACATCTACCCAAAGCCCACAACTAGTACTGTTTTTAATGTGAATGTCTGAGTTTTCCCTCCAAGATGGAAAAGGCGGGAGAAGGTACCTCTTCTTCACTCTAATTCATTATCATTTTAAAAAATCATTCCTAAACAATTCAATAAATCAAGAGAAAAAAAACAATAAAAGCACATAGATTGAAGAAGTTAAGCTAGCTTTACTCACTGACATGTCTGATGTAGAAAACACTATGGCATCCCTAAGTGAACTATTGAAATCGATAACTGATTTAACTAGTCCTCAGGATATAAGTCAGTATCTAACATTTAATTTTATTTACACAAATTAACAGCGAGCAAGAAGAAATAAAATTAAAACTAAGTCTAGGGTAGAATTTATAAACCATTACATTCTTAGGGATAGATAAAATGAAATAAAATCCAGGATTTTATAAGATGAAAAATGCAAACTGAGAAAAATCAATAAAGACCAAAATGGGAAGAATTAACATTTTCATTGATCCCAAGCCTCAGTTTTGTTAAGGTGTCTAGTCTCTCCAAACTGATTCACAGTCATTACAACTTAAATCAAAACCCCCAAAATTCCTTTTAATTGGTAGAAATTAGGTTGACTCTAAAAATTTATGTAAAATATAAAAGTTTCAGAGCTTCAAAATATTTTTAAATAGAAATATAAACTTAGGAAATTCACATTGCCTGATTTCCAGGCTCTAAAGTGACCATAACCAAGAAAAGGTAAGTATTGAAGAAATAATATGACAGATTGAAACAGAAGAGCGAATTCAAGCACAGACCTGCTTTTCAACCAAGAGACTGAGACAATGTAATGGAAGAATTAAAGAGAGTGCTGGAAACTTTACATCCAACACAGATCATGTTCGTATCTTATGCCGTATACAAAACACCAACTCAAAATGGTCATATGCCTAAAATTGCAATCCTTAAATTATAAAATCTATGCTAGAAAATATGTAAAAGTCTTTGTAATCCACTAGGCAAAAATTCTTAAGTATACCACCAATAGCAAGAGCCATTAAAATGATAAACTCCATTTTATTAAATTTTAAACTTTTGCTCTTTGAAGTACAGTTATGAAAACAAAGATAAGCCCTAGACTGCACAAAATTGCTTGCAAAAATACATATCATAAAAGACTTACATCCACAATATCTAAAGAACTCTAAAAATACATTAAATTGAAAATATCTTTATTGATTAGATGAAAAATATTTCACTGGTGTCATTACTGCAGAGAAATATGAACACCATATACATAACATGAAAATTTATTAACTACCATTATTAGTCATTGAAGAACATATTAACACTGTGCTAGCATACCCTGACATACCTATCATGTTGACTGAACTTAAAGCAAACAAGAACTCCAACAATACCAAGTGTTGACAAGCAGCTGAACAATGAGATCATCATCTTTGTCTTATTCATTCAATCACTGCAGTGCAGCTTTCTAAGACAGCAATGACAGTGAAGAAGGCATTCCCTTAAAAAGCTAAACATGTGATTAGTCGTCCTGCTCCTGGGATATACCCCCAGGAATGAACCAATATATCTGTAAATCTACCTGTGTTTGAATGGCTATGACATGTATCATAATCCCCAATGATGGAAGCAGCCTAGACATCATTATCAGTGAACAGACAAATTGCATACATAAAATACTATTTGGTAATAAAAAGGAGGAATGATTGACACATCCAACATGGATCAATCTTAAAAGTACTGCAATAAATGAAAATCAGATCAAGAAGGCTAAGTGACTGTCACAGAATAACATCATTCACACATCCAGGAGAACAGTTGTGCAGGCTGCAGTATACTCCTGTGCAGCCCTTTTGGATCGACTTTGGATTCATGCTTCCCATTTGGAAAATTAAACACTTTAAAATTTACTTTAGAATAAATTAATAAGGCTAAGGCAGATTTATCATAATGTGTTTAGAAATGGAATAAAATCTATGAACGAAGAACTTGTGAATATCTCTCAATAATTTGAACTCTGAGCCTCTTACTAAAAGTTAATCACAGTTAATCTCTTGAGAAAAAATGTTTTTAACATGAAACAATGCTCCACTGAGATTTAACAAACTCTATTTTAATTGTAATTGATTTATACCAAAAAGACAAAACGAGTTAATTAGAGCATGCTATAAGGATTACTGGCAAGGGAATATGTTTGATAGACTTAACATGTGGGTATGAAATGGAAGATTATTTTAAAGTCTGAAACAAAATAAATTTTAAGTCTGAAGAGTATTCATTTAAATTAGCACATAGGATTAGATGTTGGGATTTTATTGTTTTACTAAATATTTTTCATATCCAGAGCATATAATTTCAATGCTAAAAAATACAATGTTACCTGTTTGATCAATAACAATCACTCAGGCAATGCTGACTTGGATTAAACCATGTCTAAGAACATATAAAAAACCATTCATTGGCCATTGATATCCAACTTTAAAAAAATATTTAATAACCATATAATTAGAAGAGGCATTTCATTACAACAGCATTGACATATTCAATAACAATTTCCAGAGCTAAGAATCATCTCTTTCAA